TCTATCTATCTATCTATCTATCTATCTATCTATCTATCTATCTATCTATCTATTTTCTGAACAGTGAGAAGATGGAATAAAACAAGTCAAAGTTAAAGAGAAATTGAAAACTTTTTGCATTTTTAAAAAGTAAGGAGTAGAAAGTACAGATAATTGAATTAAAATGTAAGGAGTCTAAGTAAAAAGTAGGCTGAAAAATAATTCACTAAAGTATAAATAACCAAAATAACTACTTAAGTAAAGTAACAAAGTATTTGTACTTAGTTACTTGACACCTCTGATAAAGAGATGAACAGAAGGATGGATGATGGATGGATGGATGGATGGATGGATGAATGGATGGAGGGATGGATGGATAAATAGATGAATGGATGGATAATGAATGGATGTATGGATGAACAGAAGGATGGATGGATGGATGATGGATGGATGAATGATGGATGGATGGATAAATAGATGAATGGATGGATAATGAATGGATAAATGGATGGATGATGGATGGATGAATGATGGATGGAGAATGAATGGATAAATGGATGGGATAATGAATGGATGGATGAATGGATGGATGAACAGAATGATGGATGGATCAGAATCATTAAAATACTTTCCAAAATGTCACTTGTCTCCAGAAGTCACTTCAGACATGTCACATGTGTTGGCGTCATGTGTAAATAACAATAGAGCTGCAGGTCTTAATAATTAAGCTGCTGACACAATAAAGGGTTTGGAGATGCAGATACCTGTATATAATTTAGGATTTGATCTGKTGGATTTATTCCTTTAGGGTTGGTAATACTGGGACTCCAGGTGTTTGGCTTTTCCACACGGGGAGCCGTTACTCTTTCAACAACATCGTTCCTGCATCCATCGGTGGACTCCTTGCTACGCTGCGTCCTGAAGACCCCTCCCCGGTAACACAGCTGCTTTTTATTTACCTTAAAGTTTAGTTTCACTTAGATGACCATCACATCTAGCTTTTGCTTTGTCTTCAAGGAAACCACCACCCCTGAATACGAGTTAGACTACACAGATAATACGTTTGCAGCAGGGTCCCAAGAGGAAGTGGACAGCTTTGCTCTGACAGGTGCAGACCTCATCTTTCAGTCCTGATAGCTCGGATCAAAGTAGAAGTCCTAACTCTCCTTCTTCTGTCTTCAGAGGACTCTGATCATCAGGTGTCATACAATGAGGAAAATGTACCGGAACCCAGGTTCAGTTCAGAACCAGCAGAGAGGCAAAATGCTCCCCTTGATCGTTCGCAGATGTCCTCAGAGGGACGCACTGAACAGCTTCAAGAACAGCAACCACAGGTAAGAGCAAAACTTGATACAGTCAAAAAGAAAGAAAGACTTTTAGAAACAAAAATGAAGCCAAAAAGAAACAACTGTGTGGGAAAACCAAGTCCGCCATCACTGCTTCAGAGGATAGAAGTGGTTCAGTATCAGCTAGGAGCTACAGATCAAACGTATTAGCTGATGACCATCAGTGTGACCTCTTCTATGAACACAGGAGCTCTAAAGGTCTCACTTAGCAGGTTAAAGGTTAAAGTTCATGACAGAACTATTAGAAGAAGACTGAACATGTTTGGTGTATTGGGAATGTTTGCAGAAGAAAAACTCTTCTCTCTAAAAGACGACACCATGGCAGCAGGAGTTTGCTTTGTAAAATGTTGTTTTAAGGAACATGATTCGGTCTGTTTGACAGCTGAAGTTTGGACCAAACTAGGTCCTTCAGCACAATGAGCCCAAACACAGGAACGGCTCTACAACAGAACGGGTCAAAAAGAGCAGAATCAAGTTGCTGCAGTAAGTCCAAAGTCCAGAACTTGGTCTGACTGAAACCCTGAGGTGAGACTTTTAGTGAGCTGAAGCAAAGTTGGAAAGAAGAGTGGGCCAAACTCCCTCCATCAATGTGAGTATCTGATAAAGCCTGCTTCTGAGCATGGTTCTACGAGGTCCTGAATCATGGGGTAGACCTAGTTTTTCACATTTTGACTTCTTTAGCGGAAACACAATGGATTCTGAGGTTAGATTTGAGCAATTTTATAACCTGGTATTGACCAGATCAATGGGCCTCATGCAAGAACATGTTCGTATTCTCATCCTAAATTTCTCTTACTTTTGTTCGTACAAAGGGTTCGTACGAACATGTCACGTCAGATTCAACAAACCCTTCAATCTTCAGGAAAAGTGTGTAAATG